TCCATATAAGTGTAAACTATAAAAATTAAGAATGCTACCTCTGTCACTGTACATTGAAATGCACGACCTCCTTCTGTTCATTTTTATAGTTCGCAATAACTACGAAATTGACATTAACCAGTATGCCGAAAACAACAAAAGCTCAACGAGACAAAATGAATAAAGAATATTGCCTTAGGAAAACCAACTCAGACTTCTTCATTAGATGCCCAGCACTTTTCAATGTCATAATTCGACATACCTCAAAACAGTTAATTGACATACAGAAATCTGACAAAGCGGAAATTTAATGGAGATTCTTCGAAAGATACTCAGAAATGGACAGCTGCACATGGCGAAAAATGTGTCCATGTGGAAACTGCCACCCAAATGGAAAACTCAGAACTCATTAACACTAAAACTACATTTTGGGTGCAAACCCATGGGGTAACAACCCTAAATCCTCTTCTTCTGCTGCTACTACTACTACTACTACTACTACTACTACTACTACTACTACTACTACTACTACTAATACTGCTACTACTACAACTGCTGATAGCAGGAAAACGGAATAATTTAATCAGAACGTCAAAATTATCAGAGTAACCGAGGTTACAGTCAGGAGTCCCTTGATCACATTTTCCAGTAAAAATTCTAGGAAATATTTACTAACACTTGCACAGATTAAAGCAGAGTTGAAAAAAACTCAAAAAGATTGACGTGAGGCTACGGATCTATCATATATTTATATTTAGTTGCGCTTTAGTTCCCTTGTCTCTCGGAATAAAAAAATTTTCGAAAGTAGTTTTATCATCAATAAAGCTGAATTAATAGATAGCTTTTGTAAACTGTATTGCGAGGAGATTATGTGCTTAAGAAAACTACCGGCCCAGGGATCCTCAGTACACGAGCTCAATAGAGAGAGAGATAGAGGATAGATTCTGTCCCATTGACCGAGATTTTGAAGTCTCGTGTGGTTCAGCGACGTAGTCTCGGGTGGTTCAGCGACGTAGTCTCTGGACACTTGAGAACTCTGTACAAGGCTATTTTGTTTGCGCTTGATCTCACCGCTGCCTTCGATACGGTGGATCACAGTTATCTCGTCGAACGAATTCTGCTCAACCCAGCGCCGAACAGTATCAAACACGGGATGATTAACTACTTGCAGGACATACAAGCAAGAGTTAATTTTCGCGGTAAAAGCTCGAAGCCTCGCAAAATAAGAGCCGGTATTGTTCAAGCTGGTGTATTGTCCGACTTCCCAGTGCCTCCGGAAGGAATCAAGGTCATCATCTACGCAGATGATGTGACAATCTGCACGTCGGGTCCTAACCCAGATGACCTCGTTGACAGACTTAACAGCTATAACGAAACAGTCTGCAGCTACTTCCAGTCACTGGATCTCACTATAGATAGATAGATAGAAAGATTGATATATAGATAGATAGATACTTAAATTAGTTATAGAATGACATCTATAAATCGTAATAAGACATAACAAATTAAACTATATGTCATGAAGTCTGCGCAGCAGGCGATAAGGAAATATTTTCATTGGCCTCTCCATCTTACAGCGAGCAATCACGACAGCGCAGGTTGTTTGCTGAGTAGGTAGAACGTGTCGGAACTAAATCAAACAACAGATGATCAGAACCTGTTTGGAGGATTGCATTGTAGAGTTTTTGGTCAGCTCTTCTAATAGTTGCAGATATTGGTTCATAAGTATCAGTAACTTACTTATTGCAAGTCTTTGAAACAAATTTATCTTCTCTAGATCTTTAACATTTGAACCACACCAAACGTTAATGCCATAGTAAAGTTTTAGGAGATTGAAAGCACGATACAAAATAGCAAGTTCGTCCTTCGAATAACCGATTTTACCAAGGCGCCAGATTGAAAAAAGTCTTTGAAACAAATTTATCTTCTCTAGATCTTTAACATTTGAACCACACCAAACGTTAATGCCATAGTAAAGTTTTGGGAGATTGAAAGCACGATACAAAATAGCAAGTTCGTCCTTCGAATAACCGATTTTACCAAGGCGCCAGATTGAAAAAAGTATAGAATTCGATTGTTTAACAGCTTTGTCAATATGCTTAGCAAAACTAAATTTGGAGTCAATCATAAACCCCAGCACTTTGAGGTCATCAACAACCTCTATGCCCACAATCATACGTATGGCATTACTGCCACTATAGTTGAAAATGATAAGCATATCCTTGGAACATTTCTGAACATTGAGAAACAAGTTTCTTGCGTCAAGTTGATGACAGAGCGAACTAATAAATTCCCGAGCATGGTCAGAGCTATTGCAGCCAGCTACAAGAGGATTGTTGTCGTCAGCATAAGTTGATAACGTGGTGGAAATATCTGAAATATCAATATCATGGGTAGAGCCATTGTAAAGAGGCGGACCAAGGACAGTGCCCTGAGGGACACCATGACTAGTATACAAAACAGTTGAATCGAAGCCATTGAGAGAAGTATTACGGGCTCTATTTTGCAAGAAGTTAATGATTACGTTGACAACCGCCGGATCCACTGCTGGGACAATATTCATTACTCCTTCTATAACACTCTTGTGGGAAATAGTATCAAAAACTTTCGACATATCTAAAGAAAAGAAGCGAACATTATCATAGTTTTCACGGAAATTCCAGAGATGATGTTGCAGCCTAATGAGCATACAGGAAGTAGAAGAATGTTTACGAAAACCATACTGGTTACGTCATAAGGTTACTTCTGGTTACATCTGTTATAAGGGCCTTGCAGGTAGTTCTGATAAATTAACCTTCCAAAAACGCTGGCCATAACAGAAGTAACACAGACAGGCCTCAACTCCTTTGGCTGCTTTGGAGACGAAACTTTTGGCAAGGGAGATTTTTTTGCAAGCTTCCAAAACTCCGGGAAAATACCTTGTTCCAAGCACAAGTCAAACATATAACAATAAATTTCGGCCAAATTGTGGGCATTGTCCTTAAAGATCCAAAACGGCAGAGGGTCCGGGCCAGTAGCGGTGCCCCTAATGCATTTCATGGCATGAAATATTTGCAAGAGCAAAGACTGCGGACCGTCATTTGTAGTCTCCAAATAAGTAGGCTCAATGGGCCTCCAGAAGCAGTGGAGATGCCATTATAGTACTGGTTAAGCTGCTCAGCCGAAAAAGCACAGGTGCGATCTGGGGCTATTGTATTCTTATTCAATAAAATATTCACACGCTGCCACCAGTTTCGACCACTGGAATCAGAAAAGGCACGTTTAGTAATTAACATACGAACTTGAAGGTCGACAGCATTCGCCTCCGCAAATTTACCTCGGCGTGTATGTCGATGCTTCTTCCTTAAAAGATATTTGATAACCGGAGTCATGAAAGGTGGATCCTTTGAGCTAAGAACAACACGTTTCAATGGACAGGCAACCTTATACAGATTCAGAAGCTCGTTAGAAAGTTCCCCTAACAACACATTTGGATCGTTGTAGTTAAGAAAATATTTTAAATCATGGGTATCCAGCAAATAGTTCAAATGATTTTTGTTGGCAAATCAGGAAAGTAAACAACCTTCTTTTCAGATTGTTCAACACCATGATAAGCAACCAAACCCATATGGTCCGTTCTCAGAGTAGCGTAAATCGTTCAATACCACTGAAATAATTTTCATCCGAACACAATATTTTGCCTATTAGTCCCGCGCGTGGTTTCCATACAAACATTTTAAAGACCCCAATCTAATACGAGGTCGTCAGTATCCAATTTGTTGAAATCCCCACAGAGTACAATAATTGACGAGGGGTTCTGGTCCTTGAAGACATTGATGGAATATGAGATATGCATTTCTAGCTGACGACCATACGTAAAATCAGGTGGAAAATAAACCAAACAGACCAACAAATATTTATTTCCTACGCTAACTGACAGCCATAGAATTTCATACTGATCAGAATGATGACAAGTCCACCGATCACTGACAATAATTTCACGAACAAAAATACAGACACCGCCGCCTGTGGTTTTGTTAGAGTTCAACGAACTGCGGTCTTTCCTAAATATATTATACCCAGGAATAGCAATAAACGAATTATCAATGTCCGTGGTTAACCAAGACTCAGTTATACAGATAATATCAAATCCGTGATAACTGGCATCACACTGTAGTTCATAAATGGCATTATCTTTTTCAATGAACGGGCATTCAGCAAACAGAGAGTAATTTTAAGGTTGGTTAGTCAAAACACATGTTCTTTGCCATCCAGTTACAATTTGAAATCTCTAACTCTCAGTCTATCCTTTGAGATACCGGTTTCGACAAGTTTATAACGTTCAGAGAGAATACGCGACTCCACTTTCTTTTCGTCAACAGTAAGCTTTCTGGATAAGTAGATGCGATCAGAATAATCTTTCAAGATATGCGATTTAGCCAGCAACTTACGAACCAGCCATGGTTTCTTAAACCCCACCAGCAAGGTTCTCGGCCTGGTAGCTTCAGATCGAGACTTTCCCAGCCGAAAGGAATCAGTAATAGGCTCATTGACAGGCTCTCCCAAACACTCCATATCTTTTCTGACTGCTTGAACGTCTGAATCCATTCTGTCATGCAATATCTGGTTGGAAGGTTCAGGCACGCCATTTTTTCTTATTCCCATTTTACTTTGATCATCAGGTGTAACAGGCGTTGCTGTGTGGCCACTTACAGTTGTCTTAGTATCAGTGGATACAATAGCTGCTTTAAGATTGATGACTTCAGTTTTGATAGATTGTAGAGAAGTTTCAATAGACTTATCTCGAATGGACGTCTTCATTGCTGTCTTGGCATCGTCAAGGCAGTTCGCACAGGCCCACATCCGATGGCAGATGGTCGTAAAGCTGCTGCGGGATGTCCGTACACGACCGATGCCACCACTCGCAACATCTATCGCACTGCACTCCATCGTCTTGCTTCTTCACGGCTGCGTTGCAGGATGTACACGGTGAATTTTGAGCACACTTCAAGCGTCCACGAGTCTCCGTCATCATAGCATCTATTTAATAAGTTTATCACAACAATTAGGCTGTTTCTTGTTATCGTTTCATGACTATCTCAGAAGACAAGTCGACAGTCACTCGTTTCACTCCTCTGTCCGCTCAGGCCAACAAGCATCCTCAGGTTCTCGTGCAAAGCAACATCCTGAAGCTAGCCAAGAAGCCCGCGCCAATCTCCTCGGAGTTACCCTCGACACGATGGTCTGCTTTGGACCGCACACCTATTATTTTCACACTTGCGTCTGGCCTGTTGCCTAAAAATGTGCTTTTGTTACTCCAATTCTGAAGTCTGGGTCACCTAATGATATTACAAACTACAGACCTACCAGTATCTTACACCCCCTTGGTTTATGTTTTGAAAAAGTTCTCTTCAATCATATATATCCAAAGATTGGAAAACATTTATCAAACTCTCAGCATGGTTTCAGAAAACAGCGATCAACTGTAACACAGTTGTTATCGTTTCTTGATGAAGTATACCACGCTAGTGATTTCAACGTTCCTTCTGCTGCTGTTTATTTTTACTATAGTAAAGCCTTTGATTCTGTTCGTCATGATATCTTTCTAAACAAGCTATCAACGTATGGTTTCGATCATGATTTCTTGTTACTTTTTTCGTGGTACCTCTGTAACCGATCACAGTTTGTTCGTATAAAAGCGCATATTTCCAATCCGCGACCTGTTATTAGTGGCGTTCCTCAAGGCAGCATCTTTGGGTCGCTTCTTTTTCTTCTTTTCATCAATGATCTGCCAGAGAGTATTGATTTTTCCAGTTGTTACTTGTTCGCTGACGATTCAAAGTTGTTTTCTACTGATATTACTTCTCTACAGCAAGATATTGATTGTTTTACGTACTGGTGTGCAGGAAATGATTTATCGGTCAACCACGATAAGTGCAGTCTCATTGTTTTCAAAGAAAATTTTTCTCGTCATGTGGTGGTCAACGACCAGGACATAACTGCCTCAAATGTTGTAAAAGACCTTGGTTTACTTGTCTCTGATGACTTGAACTGGATGATACATATCAATAGTAAGCTGCTATTATGTAACAAGTCACTTCATTTTATCAGGAACAATTTTCCTTTCACTGTTTCTCAATCCAAAAGCTCTTGTTCGTTAACATGTGTACATTTTTTATGCATCCTGTTTCGTTTCCTTCATTATGTAATATCCAAAAACTTGAACGTTTTTATCGAAAGTGTCTGAAATGGGTTAGTAAATAAAAACTAGTTGTTTCTCACGAAAACTCTACCTATCTGTTACCATCTTATCTTTAACGATGCGTTACTGTTCTACAAAATGTTACATGGTCTTACAGAATTGCTGTTTTCTGCGTATTTCTTTTTTAAGGTGACCACCAACCGGAAATCGACCGTCCTCTGCACAATTTAAACAGCAGAGAAGTGACAGACTGAGAAATTCTTCTTTCATCGCGTTGAGAAATCGGTCAACGAGTTGATCCGTCTTGGTGTAGACATCTTCGCTCCCCTCGAGTCTTTCAAGAGAAGAGTTAAGGAACTTCTTTTAGAGAGAACTGTGTCAACTTTTGATCAACTGAGCTCGTTTTTATGGGTCTTGAAGTGCACCTGCTCAAACTGTCAATCTTGACTTGATATTTTTGTTTTTATTTTTGTCTTAATTTTTTATTTAAAGAAATTAACTCTTTCTTCTTCTTCTTCTTCATCTTCTTCTTATTATTATTATTATTCTTCTTATTTTTCTTCTTCTCCTTCTTCTTCTTCTTCTTCTTCCTCACCAGAGACATTGCTGCCAAAGCCCAGGAGATCAACGCCGTTCTCAAAAACCTCGCAGAACAAAACACTCCGCAGAACATGCACAGAACAAAGCACTGCGAGTAACAACAGGATGCTACAACATGACGAACATAGACTATCTACACAATGAATCACGAGTTCTTCCCATCAAAGAACACACAAATATGCTTGCACAACTACATGCCGTCTTCACTAACCAACAAAACTCTCCCACATCGACCACAGATGAAACCAGACCTGTTTTGTAAATACGAAAACCAGCTACCGAATATACATATCGATTCGAAAGAAGTAAAAAGGCTACAAATGGAAAGCAATACACACAGAGACCGTCATCGAAACCAGCAAAAACCTCAGACGGAAGCCTGTTTATGGAAGCGCACCACCAGAAAAACATAAACAGAGATTTTCTTGCCTAGAGTCCGCAGAACACGCTTGGCACAACTCAGAAACGGATACTATCGCTTATTGAACTCACACGTGTCAAGACATGATTTTTAAAATTTCAATTAAAATGGGCCCTTCCGTCATGCGACGGTACGTGCACAAGTTGGATAGGGCTGTACCAAAGCTAAAAACCCATCGGCAAAACTTTATGAATAAATCAAGTCGATATTAATATCAAGAGAATTGTCAATTAAAATCTACCCTCTTCGATTATAGCACAGATAGAATTGTCTATGTTGGATGTATTTTTAAGATTTGTGCACCCCCTAAGACAGAAGATTGCAGTCCTCAGAAGTGCAAAACTTGTTTTTGTTCTTAAAAAAATTATTATGTCCGAGTATGATTCGTTCTGTTTTTCGCTTAGTTTCTCAGCTAGTTCCTGGATGGTTTTTGTAGAGCCTGGTGCTGCTCCTCCGGTACACGCAAAAATTAGTGGAACAAGTTTGATTTGTTCAACATCCATAATTCTTTGTTGGAATTTTATTGATTTGACACTCTCATATTTGTAGGCGTCAGAAATAGTTTTGGGGCAGGATTTAGCATGGGGTGTTGAAAATTTTTACATCGAAAAAGGTTCGGCTGAATCGGCCTCCCCGGAGTCCATTTGCACTGAGGTCAAGTCGAGCGTCCTCTTCAGTAGTGGTTGTTTGTTGTGAAAGCTTTCGCCTTCCAACAATTGAAGATTCGGCTGTATTTCATCATCATGGCATACTTCGTCCAGGAGTATCGCAAAGGTATCGCGAATTTCATTGTGTCTTAGGTGAGTGTATCCACCTTTGGAACAGCGTAGTGAGTGGGTCAGTGTGTACGGTTGTCCACATGGGCATGTATGTGGGGTGTTTGGTGGTTCCCATCCTTATCTCAGATGTATTCCATCTTTAAACTCTGATTTATTGAGGGAAAAATTGTATTTTTTAAGTGTAGCACGCTTAGCCATTTCGATGCTCCTTTCTGTGACGCTAGATTTAACGTCAGTTGTTTTTTCTGATGGGCATTTTGCCATCGTTTTAGCCTTTTTCGAGATTGTGATATTCTCTCTCTCAGTTTTGATGTTTCTATTTATCAGAGTTTGTTCCGTTTCAGCTATTTCTGCATCACTGTTTTCTAACGGATCACAAATGGCTTGTGACCACTCATAATTTCTGGAAAAGTTCGTGTTACTGAAGAGGTCTAATCCTCCCAGTCTAAGTGATATTGCAAAAAGTTGCGATCTTCATCGGTTGTATGGTCTTTACCAGTATTGCTAGGAAGTAGCTGATGTCTTACGTTTTTCTCAATTTCATCCATTTTATTAAATGCTTCCGGAGTTGTTCTGCTTAGAAAGCTTAATTTATTTTGAACTCCCTTTGTGTAGCAGGAGTAGGCATTTTGTGGTGATGTTTTAGCTATTTTGGAAAGCTTCAGTTAGGGTAGCTGTTTTTTCAATTTCGCTTTCCATGTCTTTATCGTATGCTGACGGTGTTCCTATAACCGATCCAAGGACTCTAAAACCGTCTACCATTGTAATATTTGTGCCTTCACGACGGTTTTCTTTTATATGAGTTGACACTAGGAAGGCTTCACATTGTATCTGAAAGCCTTTCCGTGCACATCCAGGTTGTCCAGTATTGCGCGGAGACTCTTAACAATTACCTGCAGCGCTTCCATCATCTGCGTACCATTTTTGGTTGATATTTGGTTTTTGCAGGAACTCAATCAGTTCGATCATCCCAATTCCGTACATAGCCATTGCGAGGGAATCACCTTGCTTTGTGCCTTCAGTAGATGTCAAAATCGTGTTATTGACATATAGATTTGAGGGATGTTTATATGAGTTGGCCAGCCTTTGATGTAGCGCCGGACAAAAGATTTCTACATTTTTAGAGCAAGTTCTCTTTTGAGCGAATTGAAGGCATTTTCTGCATCAAAAAGTAGTATGCCGTCCGTTTCCGGTTTCTAAAACTCGTTCCTCAAGCTGTGGATAGCTATTCGATTTTTCGATTCCACATTTCTGGCCTAAGCAAAGTTGGAATTTTATTGCGAGATTTCTGAGATCTGTTTTTTTTTTAATTTGGGGTTGATTATTTGGCCAAATATTCGTCTCAGAACTTCGCCTATACCAATGGGCCGTACCCCTGGATTTTTGTCCAGAAGTATCAGGCGACACGAGCTGTACGCCGTTAGGTTTTCATGTGGGAGAACTTTAGTTTCTATTGTTTAGGATAGTTTACCTATTATTTTGCAAAACTCAAGGGATGGCTGGTTGCAGTAAGTTAATATCCTTCTCCATTCGCTCGCATCTAGATCTGAGGGACCGTGGCTTCCGTGCGTTTTCAGGGTTGATTTTCGAACTGTCTTGGCGTTTATTTGTTCGAATATAGAGGGGTGGTGTGGCATTGTGTCTTCACTAACTTCAGTTATATATTTAGTGTTCGCTGTTTTGGCTTGAGGGTGTTTTTCATTTCAGGATACCAAGGACTGTTTTTCCTTCAATGGTTCGTTTAGGGGAAGTACTCCTTTTGATTTCTTGTCTGAAAGGCAGCCAATCGCAGCAGATATATTGCCTGTACTCATCAGTTTATCGAATTGCTTAACTTCCTTGTTTACTTTCGACTTCTTCTGTTTTGGATTTTCAATTTGGAGAGCTTTCGCTTCAGTGAAAAGTTCGTCTAATAGGCCTTGCTTCCATAAAAATATGCGGCGGCTTGGTGTTTTAAAATTTGATCCGTTTGCTTCTGATTTAGTTTTGGGGAGCAGCAGATGTGGGAGAATCATTTCTGCTTGCATTGCGACGTTAGAATTTGGTGTTTCTTCTACTAATGACAAC